TCACTCTCCACAGGGTGCTCTCCAGCCTCTCAGGAACAGCTCCAGCATGGGTTTGACACAGGACCGCAAGTCCTACCAGGAACTCTGCTCCAGTGTGAATCTTTTCTTTCCTTGGGTCTGTAGGTCCCTGCCAGGACTCTGCTCCAGCATAGACTCCCCATGAGTTCACAGCCTTCTTTGGGAAGCCACCTGCTCTGGCATGGGTCTCCTCCACAGGCTGCAGGTGGATCTCTGTACCCTGTTAGTCTCCATGGGCTGCAGGACAGCTGCTTCACCATGGTCTTCACCATGGACTGCACGGGATTCTCAGCTCTGGTGCCTAGAGTACCTCCTCCCCCTGCTTCTCCACTGACCTTGGTGGCTGCAGTTGTCCCTTTCATATATTCTCTCTCCTCTGGTCTCTCTGGTCACAATTATTTCTGTGCAATAACTTTTTTCTGTTCTTAAATGTGTTATCCCAGAGGTGTTACTACCATCACTGATTGGCTTGGCCTTGCCGCAGTGGCAGGTTCGTCCTGGGTTTGTTCTGGGAGCCACTGGCATTGGCTCTGCTGGACATGGGGAAGCTTCTAGCAGGTTCTCACAGAAGCCATCCCTGTAGCCCTCACCACCACCACTGCCAAAACCTGGCCACGCTAAACTAAGGGGTAACAAACATACAGAAATCTCTAGCTGAGTCTATGGTGTTGCTAGGTCCCTCTCCAGAGTGGGATACAGCTGGTAGCAGAGCTCTTCCTGATCCAACAGGACAGGTCCACACTTACAGCAACCTTCCTAACTGTTCCCTTGTGTCCTGGCTGTGCATTTTCCAGATACCACTGTGAGGAATATTTGAACATCTAAAGTCAACTTTTTTCATAGTAGACGAATTTCTAACACATTTGTCCCTATTAGGAATATGCTTAGGACTCCAAAGAATATGTTAAGGACTTAGCTTTCTTCAAGCTATTTCTTTCTCCTATTTTGCATAGCTACAGATGACATGAAACAGACACTGATGACAGTGGCAGAGGAATAATTACAGGCCTTGTTCCATGCCCTGTCTTGGATGAACAGGAAGAGTGTGCTGAAGGAGTCTGAACACACTGTTTTTGTAGAGTGTGCTGGTATTTCCTAATGTGTGAGTCATCTGAAAATTCCTTGGTCCTTTCGCTATGTTGTCTTTTCAGGTCTCACAGCAAAGTCACTGGACAAAATGTCATCCTCAGTCACTGCAGGTCTCCACTGCCTGTTTCTACTGGTCTTACCATGCTGCCAGACATCACAGGACTCAAACTTCAATCCATTCCAATATGTAGTGAGTATCCTTTCCCAGACCTATTGGTTTTCATTTGGTCACTGCTTGTAGCCCCCTGATGCTCTCCTTTACATCCACAAAACCTTGGAGGAAGTCAGGATAGAACCAGGTGGGGAAACTGAACCTGGAGTGTGTAAAAGAGATGGAGAAATCCAGAAACTGGGCTCTTTTTTCTTTCCAGTCTTCATCAATACCATGAGTTATAGAAAGCCATTTTATATTTTGTCAGGTACGTGGCTTTGTTAACAGACAGTTTCTGCAAAAATAATCCCTGACAAAAAAGGACAAAAGAGGAACAGAGAAAGCAAGGGTTTGACCAAATGGAAGTTAATATAGTCTGGTAAATAAAATTAGTCTATAGATCTACCAACTCTAGGTTATCACAATTATTATCAAACTAGAAAATACTTCTTCTCCAGTGTGAGAGAATGGAGAACCTCCTTTTTTGAGCAGGTTGAAAAAAGAAAAGGAAACATGAAGAGGAAGGTGGAATCTCCTTAAGCTGTTTCTACCACCATCCTCTGCCTTGGCAAACCAAGGTATGTGTGGTTCCAGCAGCCTCATCTGCTCTTCAGCAGATATCTAATAGTGACCAAGTATCTTGTTTGCTCTGGGTTTTTTCAGGCTACCTTTATTTCAGCAGAAAGGAGTTTTCATGAAAAAGCAACACCTTTTTTTTTTAGCATCATTGATCCATGGTACACCCTGCAAATGACTCATTATTTAATGGTGTGAAATATGCAAAGTATTTAGCAACATAGCAATACCCTGCAGTTGTCTGGGAGAACAACTGAGAAAGGAAACCACTGAGTTCAAACCTGGAGGAAGATATGGATCACAGTGGGCTTTCTGTAACTCTTGCAGCCAACCCCTAGTGCGAAGGTGGTACCCCAGCAGTGCAAAAAATGCCAGTACGCCTTTGGATCTTGACTCCAGCACAACTGCAATATGAAGCCCAGATCTAATCATGCACCAGATGGTTCCTTTATGCAAAGAGATGACTTAAGAGTTGCCAAGCTATTCACCCCTTCTGTAAATAAAGGTTTCAGTAGGAACCCAGAAACTGGCAAAGCTGCAAATTTCCTGCCTGCGTCTTTGCTTGTTCTTTAGCCTTTCTTGCTAACGGTGGTGCCAATGTATTTTTAGGGCACAATTAAAAATTAAAAAGGTGATCTGCATTTCACTTGGCTGCACGCTGTGTGAACTCAATTATACTGAAATTGTGCCACCACTGCCCTGGTCAACTGTGTGTTACTGATTGCACCAAAGTAGCTGACCTGGCAACAGATCTGAAGCCAAGACTTTTCAATCTCCTGTCTTCTACTCAGGCTGTCTTTACTGCTGCAGAGATGACAGCTCAAAGCAAAGAAAAAAGCGAAGTGTGAAAAGAGTCCAGTTTCTGGATTCAAAGGCTGAGTGGCAAGGTTTACCAAGCAGTTTGCCAGGCTGGTCCAGGCCTACGTACACTGCATCAGTCCTTTAGCCAGTTTGTAGCTCAGACACAGAAATCCTTCTAAGCTGAGGCAGTTTCTGGCAGAGATATGCAAAGAGGCATCTGCAAACAGTACATCCCTTAGCTGGTGTTTAACTTTTCCCTGCTTGGAAGATAGTAATATTTTCTTTAAGGAGAAAGATGGGGTTGGAGGTTGGAGGGATGGGGCTAAGATTAGTGTGAAAATTTTTTTTGTGTCAGTATTTTCAGCACTTTCACCGACAACAGCAGATAAAGCTTCACTTTGTTTTCCTTACAGAGCTTTACTCTCTTTTTTTCCCCCAGATTGACAGTCCAGTAGGAGAGGAAAGCTTCCATTCAGAGATGCAAAGGCAGAAGCGAAACAGTATGTACACAAATGTATGGTATCAGAACAGGCTTCTAGTAAGTCAAGGGTGAAATCACTATTAGGGACAGCATCTCTTGAGATACTGAACTGGGACCATCAAGGGGGAAGGATTGTGGTTTAACCCCAGCTACACACCACCGAGCCACTTACTCTCCTCCAGTGAGATGGGGAACAGAATCAGAAGGATAAAGTGAGAAAACTCGTAGGTTGAGATAAAAATGGTTTCATCATTAAAGCGAAAGAAGGAATTAATTCACTACTTCCCATTGTCAGGCAGGTTGTTCAGCTGTCTCCAGGAAAGCAGAGCTTTCCAGGTCCCTCTGGATGACATCCATGAAACAACATATATCAGCACAGCTTGTATGCAAGTTGAAATACATATTTAGAAAATAACCCAGCCTCTTAGCTGGACAGGAGGAACAAGATAATCCTATATGGCCTCAGTCTGTGGCTGTAAAACCATCCAGTTACTGACTCAAAGGAGAGAATGGATGAGACAGGCTTTCTCTGTATATATTGTGCCATTTTTATCAGCTTTCTATTGCTCTGTAATCTGGCTTTTGTGAGACAAGTAGCAGATAAAACACATGCAGAATTTCTGCTGAGTGGGAAGGAAGAAGATTTCCTAAGCAGAACAACACACTAAGCTACCATAAAATAGCAGCAAAGAGCCCAGATGCCAAACTGGAAGCCATCAATTTGTGATTTAGCCTCGCACACAGCTTTTCAGTCCCATTCTATTTCTCTTTCAGTGCTTATTTTTAACCTTCTCACTATGGACTATGCCGTTGACATTGAAGTAAGCCTTATGGATTCATCTTATCTGGAGCAAATCAGACAGTATTTCAAGAACTTTGAACTTCCAATTTCAATGAATATTTCGGATGCAGAAATAACAGTTTCAAATATTGACATTACAACAGGTGGGTTGGTTATTGATTTTTATATTATGGATAATGTGCTTTGTGGTCCATATTTGATGACTCTCACTTTTACCACCCATCACACTTAGAAATCAGCAAACCTGAACCATCTGTGCTGCCAGCTGAAAGACCTAGCAAGACTGAAGCTCTAGCACAAAACAGCATCTTTTGTTATCTACGTCCCACCACTCCTCTTTATATAATGTTGGCATTAGGAATAGCTCTGAATGCTTTTCTTTTCCTAAGGAAGGGACAAAGCCAGAGGAAGCCTGAGCCAAAGGATTTTGCTCCAGCTTGGCTAACAAGCGCTCTGAGTTACTTTCAAGTTTCAGGAAGCTGCAACAGTGGTTATCAGACTGTTTACTTCCCTCCTCCTGTACTTGGAACATAAATCGCTGTGAGAGGCTGTACTCTGACCCTGACAGAGACAAGCTGCATGAGATACAGTGTTTTCCTGTATAACTCACTTATCGTATTCTTACGGGGCAAGATATCAAGCAGGTTTTATTACATTAGTTGTAGTTGTGCAGCATCACATCTGAGTAACAAATACAGTGGAGGATATAGAAACACACCAAACATTTACAACACCAGAGGAGATTTGGTATCTTCTTATCGCTGGCTCATAAAGCAATGAAAGGAACTGTTCATCAGTTCCCAAAACAACATGCAAATACATCTTCTAAAGGCCTTCAGGGTCACATGTAATACGTGAAAATAATTTTGTTAATATCTTACTTTGCTAATGACACATTAAGAGCAGAAAAACTGAAAGTGTTGTGTTGGGGTTTCCTTCTGGTTTGGGTTTGGGGTTTTTTAGAGACACAATGTCTTTAAAGCATTTTGGATGATAATCTTACCTTCTCTCACACAGCATCTGTCAGGATACAGTCAGAATGACACAACACCTCACTAGCCACCAGGACTTTGGATGATAAATACATGCTCTCACAATATTTAATGTCCTATACATTTGCTTTCAGATCAGGCAATATAGAAATATCCAGTCTGACAGCTATCACAGACCATGGCCAACATGCCATGTAAATTTTTAGGATCAGACTTCACATTTCCATTCAGTTACTTAAAAGTAATTGATCAAAATTATCTCTGTACTATTCTGGTTACCATTTCTGGTTAGTTATTTACAATCAGTAGAGTAAGAGCTGCAAGGCATCAGATCACCATGTTTGCATGATTCAAGTGAACTCGCAAGAAGGGCAACATTTAGTTGAGATCATGAAGATACAAAAAGATAAATATTTATCATGCAAATGTTATGCCCTGTTCACCATTCTCATAGTATTTCTCTATCTGTCTGACACTAGTCTGTTGGCCCAGTGATGAGAATAGTAGCTGTTGTTCCTGTGAAAATGGCTATGCCTGGCCAAGCACGGTGTGCAGTGACATGATCCCCTGCCCTTCTGACAGCACAAAACCTGACTGGACCTGTGGCTACACACAGGAAATGCCTTTCTATGGGCCTTACTGTGAGCCTCAGACTGAAGGTAAGGAGACACAGTGCTGAACTTCATCACTGTACAACTCATATACAGCTTAGAAGTGAGAATAGTGTTAAAAGGTGGGATAAAGCAGCACATCAGGACTGAGCTGGCTACCACATTGCCTGTGGATGTGGAAAGTCTTTAGAGATGGTCTAGAGCTCTTCTCCTTGTGATATGGGCCCACCTTGACCCAAGCACTTGCAGACATTTAGTGACGTGCTGGAGCTTGGGTACAATGCTCCTCCACTGCATGAACATGCCCTTATATGGACCCAGCTTAGAAAATTATAGTATCTCTCAAAGTATTTTATATTATTTTCTGCCATTGAATCACCTTCTGAATGTATTGTCTTCTGAAGATATGTGCAACTTTGCATCAGCAGGACAGGGAGTCTAGATATTTAGAAGGCATCTAAATTAGATATAGAATATTAGGAGAATCACAACTTTCCTATTATACAGATGAATCTTGGCAAGTTGTAAACATTTTAAGTGGAAATAGGGTAGATGTAGATTCCATATTAGGAAGATATTAAAAAGAGTGGTGAGACATTGGAACAGGTTGTTCAGAAAAGTTGTGAATGCCCCATCCCTGGAAGCATTCAAGGCCAGGTTGGGAGGTGGGCCTGGATGATTTTTAAAGGTCCCTTCCAACCCAAACCATTATATGATTCTAAGATTCTATGATTAAGTTAGAAGAAAAAGCTAAAGAAATCACTTTGTAAGAATTGGGTTTGATTATTTTGCATGTATTTTAATATCTTTCCTTACAGACTCATGTGGTATGGGAGAGCCCATTGTAACGGATATATCAGTCAGACTCGATGTAGACTTTTCGGATGATCTCAAGGATCCTTCCTCTCATTTATACAAAGAGTACAAAGCTGACCTTGAAAAAGCGGTAATGGCTTTAGCTTTCCATCTCTGAAGGTAGACAGCCCTTTTAGAAATACAGTGTTCACACTATATGTCTGGGACATAGAGTGGCCTGTCACTCCCATTGTGGGGAGCTGGGCAGTATGCAGCTGTGGTAGCTACAAAGTGAGCCAAAGCCAACTCCTCTGAAAGGCAAGGACAGTATTCCCATTCATTTCAATATATCGGCTGACAGGGAAGTATTTAGAAATCTTTTACATCTAAAGTGCGACCAAAAAAATCACTTTATTGGTCCTAGCTTAAATCCACGTGAGCACACATGGAATGAAACCATCAAAAGATACTTACCCCATGACAATGGAGAGAGCACCAGAGGCATTCTATCAGATATGCTGCATGCCCTTACTCACATCAGTCTTGAATGGAGTGTTTCCTATTTTAAGCACACTAGAGTAATCTGCAGAGGATTTGTGTCATGTCATATGTCTTTGTTTACAGTTCAACACCAGCTACAGATGTTTACCAGGCTTTGTATCAGCAACAGTAACTAGTTTCAGGTAAGCAAATAATTTCTTTTTTCCTGGAAGACACAAATGCTTCTGTCCAGTCTCAAGGAGACACAAGTCAGCAAAGACTAAATTCACTCTGTCTAGAACCCATGCCCAGTATACACATACTGAATGACAGATAACCAATGCAAAGGAAAGCCCAACTATGAGCATGGAAATAAGATTGCTGGTAAAATTCACGCCTGTGCAAAAGTCCAAGAAACATAATCATTCTCCATCTAGATCAAAGCTTTTTAGGGGAAAGACTGAGTTCCATGCAAAAGGGGAAAAGGATGCAAATAAACCTAACAATTTTCTAGGTCATGAGGAAGATGAATTAGTACATTGACTCTGGATATAACATTGGATCTGGATAAAAGAGACATTACTTATGTCCACACATATTTAAATGCAGTTGTATTTCCCTTCTAAGGGAAGTTTACTAGAAATAAAGATGTTCATTCTTAGGGAAGAGTTGTAGAACAACCTTCTTGTATACCAGAGCAAGTCTTGAGTCCCAACAGGAGCCTTCACAGGTGAGCCCTGTGACGCCTTCCCAGCCATGCAAGACAGGTTATCACAAGATAGAAAACTGCTAATATACAAGGTTATTCAATTCTGATTCTTCTCTCCTTCTTGTATCTGTTTAGTCCTGGAAGTGTTTTTGTGAACTACCAAGTAAAAGCAGGAGCAGCAAGCTTCAATCAGATTGCAAATTCCAACAAAGCTGTACATCAATTTTTAGATTCATCATACCATCTAAACCCTGCTACCTTCAGAACAGAAATAACTGGTAAGTTTAAAGCTTTCTCAGGACTCTCCTTTAAGCTTTACTTTAGTATTTCTAACCTGTATCATGTAGCTGCCTTATACTGTTGATTATTTGGCACTGGACCTTCAGAAAACATTTATTTCTCTAGCTGTTTCATTTTATCCTGTGCCACCAAATCATAGGACTTTCTTGAGAGGCCCATGCATGCAGTACCTCCCATGGAAAACCAAAGCCTTCCAGCCACTGCATTGAACAGTTAATGACTGGACTTGATGATCTTAGAGGTCTTTTCCAGCCTCAACAATTGTATGATCCCTGATGCACTCTCTCCAAGGGGAGAGAGATTGAACACCTGTAAGTTCACCTCCAGAACTGAGACAGCTCTTAGCATGTCAGACTGCCACCACTTCCTACTCCTTAATGCAAAACAAAAACCTCTTGCAGTTTACATGAGAACACATTTCCCTTGGCTTCACTGGCACATTTTCCATGCTGCTGCTGGACAGTGTGTTACAATTCAGTTGTTTGATCCAGTGCCCTGGAGATGCCACACTCTTAATGCACTGAGTGCTGGACTGTCTGTCTCAGAGCATTGCTTCAATCTCGTTGCTTCTCCTCCCAATTTATCTACTTAGAAAGTAGTGGTGGTGCTAATATTTCTGGCTCTCTGCATAAGACCTTCTGAGATCTTTGGCTGACAAAGACAGTAGAAGAATATGTTAAGGGAAAATCGCATGGCTTATATCAGAGGTCCTGCAACTGATGTTGAGTGCATATTAGTTGTCAAGCACCTGGGGTCCCCATGAGATGAAAGACACCATATAGAACTGAGCTGAAATGACAGTAATGCAGAATGTTTCTCTCTGTCTCCCCAGATCAGGCAAACTTCACTGTGAGACCCTCAGACATTTTTGAAGGAGATACAGTAAGATTGATTTGTGAGATAAATTCAGCATCTGACAATGTGACCTGGTATCACTCGACTGAAAGCATCTCAATCAGCTTCCGGTATTCCATAGAAGGAGACTTAAGCATCGGAAGATCGATTCTTAAAATTACCAATGTTACAAAGGAGGATTCTGGTATGATTTTCTGTCATTAAAACAGCAGATGTAAATGTCTTGTGTGGCTAGTTCTATAAAAAGCAAAGATTAATGCAGTGAGTGCACTTTGCTAGGGTAAATGTGAAAATCATGCTGCCCCTCATAATTTTCATGTGTTATTTTCGGCAGTGAACAACATACTGACTGGCAATGCCAGCAAGATGTGAACTGACTGAAGTGACTATACCTGCTTGGGTGTTCTCAGTGCCAGGCTTCACTACTGTACCACAGGAGACAGTGCTGACTGCATGGCTGTGAGGACTTCCCACCCTTTTGGTGTGGTTGAATTTTCCTGCTTCGCACACATAACCTAACTAATGAGAGCTTGGAGTTGCAGTTTTTCATGTGTTCATGTTTAGGGCTTTTTGAAAGTCAGAAACAGGTAAAATGGTGGCATTTTACCTGGAGGAGTTATCAGGGGAATTATTTTGTCTTATCAGAGCTTGGCCTCAAGCTCCCACTCAGTTATTCTCTTTGGACCATGAATTCTACATTCAACTTCAGAAAAAAATAGCCTGTGACCAGGTATTTGGGCAGAATTATGCAAGGTAGGAAGCATGGGTCCAAATTTCTCTGAACTGAGGATGCCCTGAACCTTGGTGCCTCCACTCCTATGTAAGAGCTCTACTCACTTGGCTATCCCAATGGGGAAGGAGAACCCATACAACTAAAGTGTGAAGGAAGTTTGGAGCTCTGGCTGCCAATTTCAAAAACAAGCCTGGCTGCAGCCAGGGAAGTCATGCCTGAAACAGTGGCTAACAAATGCTCTTCTCTCTTTGGCAATACCTTCTGAGCAGACTAAGAGCCTACACTCAGAGGTCAGCTCTGATGGAATCCATCCATCTCTCACCCATTCTGTATAGGAACCTTTTGCACAGTCAGTCCATGTTCTTACTGTAGCATATTACTACCAGAAGGACAATGGACAATATACAGATCCCAAACACACCAACTCACCCAGATTTTAAGTATTTCAGTCCCAGAATACTGGTCTCTTCTCATGTACCCATCCAGACTGAACCCTAATTTGGATACATTTGGCACCAGGAGCCTGCAGAAGGCAGATTGTGTTCTGCAGATGACCTGAGGGTACATGTTGATTAGCAAGTAGCAGAGCCACTGCAGAGCAGAGAGATGTGAAAACTAGATGTGGAAGTAGGTCCTCGTTCCAAATATAGTGGCAAAACAGCAAAACTGTTCTCAATGTGTAGATGCTGTCTATGCTTTACAGGTCCCTATATGTGTAATTTCACAAGAGAAGTTCCGTCGTACAGAGTGATACACGTAGCCACGAAAACACTAAATGTCTTTCCACTAAATGTCACTGCAAACAGAAAGGACATTGATGTTCCATGTAACAGTCCTGAAATGCAGACAAACAGTCCTGTGCTGTCCTGCTGCATTGAGAAACAGCTACCATCACTTACTGTTGACTGGAAAGTAAATGGAGAAATCAATATTACAGGTAAGGTTAACAAAAGATTGTCTTTCACCTGCTGGGTTGGTTTGTACTTCTAAGGTCTCCTCCTAACTGGCTAACCCGAAGACCAAGTCCTAGGATGAATACAGGGTATGCTCAAAAGATGTGTGTGAGGAGAAGGTACAAACTCCACACGTGTTGTGCAAGTGCCAGTGGAGTTCTGGGCATTTCCATGCAGTGTTCAGACACTGATGCCTTAAACTGTGCCATTCTGGGTGGAAATAGCTGCCTGGACCAGCATTTGCACTGATTTTTTCCAAAAAGCTTGTTTCTGCATTGTCTAATTCTGAGAGCAAGGATGAGTGCATCAGTCTCTACTGCTATCTCCAGAATCATCCTTGGGGTATAAAGAGCTTCCATGTACCACATACCAAGATTGGGCAGCCAAGAGAGGCAGGTGTTGCACTATGAAACAGTTGCAGCATAGCTAAATACTGAGAGCGCAGTTTCGCTCGTAACCTTTAGTTGTGATATATCACATACCAGTTGAGTCAGTGACATCCCACAAATTTTTACTTCTAATATAAGGAGTTAGTAAAGCATTAAGTAAATGTGTTACAAAGAGTTACAAAATAACATCAACAGAAACGCTCATAAATGTCTATGAACCATCATCCTAAATGGTCTACTGCCCTCTTAATATTTTATGTGTATGAATTAACTGTTTATTGTTAACTATTTGCTCTAAATGAAGTTTAGCAGAAAGCAGAAAAATGAGAGAAAACCTTCGAAGTTCACATGCACAGTCATTTCTGCTGAAGACAGGTACTGGTGTGCTGAAGTGCTTGCAGAGAGGGGGGGATTCTGGCCTACTGTGATGAGCTGTTTTGGCCTTGATTCCATGTGGTCAGGCTTTCCCCCAGGAACTCTACTGTGCTCTGCACTCATTTCAGATGCACTCTCAGCTGCAGCATGGGACAGCTTTAGTGCTTATAGCTAAATCAGCACTCTTCAGACTTAAAGTTGGATGACAGTCAAATACCTCCAAATTTTTATTTCAAAATCAGATGACATTAAGATCTGCAGTATTTACTCCTGTTTTGCTTACCTTTACTCATCTTAAGTATCACAAATAATGACATTTGGCTAAACCAGAATACTCTTTGTTATTTCCAAGCAATGTTGTTCTCAGACTGGTTTTGGCATTAGGTGCCCAGAACTGTGCCATCTTCAGGCCTTTGGAAAATTACTATGAGTGTTGCTGGAGTAAAAGATGTGGACAAACTTCAGCAATGATGGGTTAAAAGTGCTATGCTGTCAATTAGATACAAACCCACAAGGTTTTCCTCAGCTAGAGTGATTGCTTGGGATTTCCATAGGTATTTTTGGACATACATAGCCATTCAAGCTATGTTTATTTCTCTCCAGGAGTCGCCAGTTTGAGTGAAAACTGCACTGAATACAAGCTCAACATCAATGAATCACTATGTTCACCTGAGAAATCAGGTGCAGTGACAACATACACATGTGAGATCCAGACAGGACAAGGCGCCAGGGGTAGTGAAAGCATCAGAGTGACTTACCTCTGGAAAGGTAAGAGTCAGGTAGCATGTGACAGACCACCAGCTCTTTAACATGTAGGTGTCCTCTGTGACACACAGCATTTGTAAGCAAATGTTTATAAGTGACTCTCGATGTGACATTTGTCTTGTGTTGTCTCAGCCCATGTGACAATATCTTCAAGCACAAACTCAATAGTTTCCAAGGGATATGCATTCAATCTAACGTGCAGAAGTACTGTGAGCAATTATGACAGTATCAGCTGGAAAATCCAGTCTGGAAGCAGTACAAAAACAGTGGACTGTGATATGTGCATCAAAAACAGAAAATTTCCAGCCACATCTGAGCTCTCAGTGAAATCTGCCACACAGGACTGGAACGGTGAGTAAATATGGTCTTATTGGCTACAAAGGTAATGAAAACTCTGTACCAGATCATTTCAGCATCCATATCCCTGCAAATCACTGTGAAGCCTGGCCACAGTAAATTAAAAAAACCCCACAGTTAAAATTATAAGTGTTGGAGGACAGCAAGGCATGATACTGCCAACAGCACTGTACTTGTTCAGTAGTAGGGCTTACTACCACGCTAAAGCTGAGGAGCACTTCTGTTGACTGAGACATGGTTTTTGTGACACTTCTTTCAGGCACCTACATCTGCACATTCTCCCAGAAAAACTTGGAGAGTTCTGCCAATATGTCAATCGAGGTTATTTCCTTGCCCCGGAAGCAGAACATCATGATAGACCCCGTTAGAGCATCGATAACGTGCAACAAGCCACAAGCCCTTGAGTGCTGCATAAGTGCAAATACCACGGAAAATTACACTGTTAGATTTGTGGTTCCGCAAAGTAATCTTCAAGCTGGTAAGACACGATAACTTGTGGAAGCATGAGTTTCACTATATGTCACAAAGCAGCCTCTGGGTTTTTTCTTTTCAGTTAGGTCTGTGTAACCAGTTCATACTTACCACTATTATGATGACTCACAAGTACTCCTGAGGGTGTAAAAAAAGGGAAATAGCCTTTTTCTAGGATGGTTGGTATGACTGGGGAACATGGCTGGGATTAATAGAAGAGCAACTGAAGCCACTGCTGTAGTGATAAATACATAATAGGTAAATTTAATGTTTGGTTTGCCTTGCCAGTCAGGGAGAAGTGGAATCCTTACCCTTGTTCAGATCAGAAACTGCTGAACTCCATTATTTGCTTTTATCTTCCACTTTGCCACTTTTGTGAACTGAGTATTTTGAGGAAACTTCACTTAAGAAAATATACTAATTCATGAAAAATGTAGATGAACCCATTGAGAATGAAATTCAAAGAACTATTCAATTTTCTTTGAGGATACAGGTAACACATCTTTAACAGCACAAAAGCCTAAGCTTCTGTATCTTCAAATTTAGAGTGATTCTGCAGGTTCCCGGACATGTTTTTATATACTGAAAGTTTTCGAGTGGGTTACAAACTAATTGGTTTGAATGAAAGCAAAAAAATCCACCTAAACTAACTTAGAAAACACGTGAGTGTGCAAAAGCAACTGGGTAAAGTGTAAAGCAGGTGGAGACTGAGGGATCCTTCAGTAGCTAATAAAAATTTCAGGATCTTCTCAGAAGAGACTGCAGCCAGGGACCCTCAGGCATACTGAAAAGCAATGGGAGTGTGGTACAGATCATGAGTTCAAAAGAACCATATAAGAACAGCAAAAAAGTATCCCAGGCTAAATGAAACACCTGTGGTAGAAGCAGGAAGAGGATTCTCCAAAATTATTTCCAAAGCAAGTTTTTGTTCCTGTGCAGTTAAGAGGGTTTGGGCAGGATTTGCTCATACACCAGTAATGGAAAAGGTATTGATCATGCAGCAGCTGCCAGATTTATTAAGTGGAGTGTAAGAGGCAGAGATCAGCACACAGAGAGGAAATTTTACCACAAAGAAAGCTTTTTTTCTAGGACTCACAGAAAAGAAAGCTTTGCCGAAGCTTTCTGCTCTTGAGCCCAAATCTGTTAACCTGCCATAATCCTTCCATACAGAGGAAAAGAAAAATGGCAATTTGCTTTGCTACGTGTCCAGTTACACAGAAGAAGATTGTAGCAGTGACAAAGAGATAACAACATATTGTAAGTTTACAAACCGCATTGGACAGGGAGTCAACAGTGAATATATAAGACTGCAAGTGATACCTGGTAAGGAAAAGGTTACTATTTATAGCTGTTAAATATGAGATCTTTGTTAAATCAGATGCCACAAATTCATCACCAATGATGTTTAACTGCTAAATCCAGTTTTGATGCTTAGTTTTGACCAGAGTTTGGATGTTTCAGCTTTTGATTCTAAATTAGAAAGAAAGAAATATTGCATATTCCCATAATGCAGAAATTTTTCCCCGTAATAATGGTGCCTACAGTTGAATCAGTGTATCTGACAGATTTCACTTTCTTAGGCAATAAATATGCAGACACTTTAATTTCTTCAATCAGCAAATACTTACTGATATGACTAACCCAATTAAGGCCACTTAGCCAGACTATTTAATCAAAAATATGTTCAGGCCTCATTTAGGTATTAATGAACTTCCTGTTAGTGCTACAGCAGCACTGAGTCCCTTAGCAGAATAAACTGCGTGAATTATTCCTCATATAGTGGTTGCTATAATCCCACTCCACCTCTGTCTAATCCTGTAATCTAACAGATAAATCCTAAAACTCTGGGTATTGGTTTGTTCATTTGGTTCAGTGCTAAAAAACTGAAGCTTTATTAGATTTCCTTTTCAATTTCATGATTCATAAAAACTGAGAATGCAGGACATATACCTCCTGAAAGGTCATAATTAATGAAGATACTGAGGTGAAATCCTAATTTAAAGACCCTTGAAGTTCAGGAGGTCACAGGTTTGATGGGGGTAAACTATTAATCTCTGCTTCTTCTTTTCTATATCTATGTCTTTTCTTTCTACAGCAAATAAAGTTTCCTGCAAAGACCCATCAGGCACTGGAATAGAAGGGAGCACATTAATAAAGCCATGCCGTCAGTCAGATAATCCAGATGGTTTTACCCGAGGCAATATAACTTACAAGTGCACCAACGGCTCATGGAAAACTGAAAAGAATGAATGTCTGTCTACAACAATAAACAATCTGCTGAATAGTGCTGAGGTAACATTTATGAATCTTCCAGAGTTTAGGGTGGCAAGGTGTGGAGGAAGAAAGAGCAAACATTTTTGTTGCATGATTTTTGTTTATCACATTCTAAATTATATGAAACATTAAACAATCAAGCATTAAATTAAAACTTTCTTTTAAAAGATAGAAAGAATATTTGGCTATATCTACACAAGTCAGCAAAAGAGGCAAGGTCCCCTCCTTTGACCCAGAGGGCGTGCACCACTGTGTGGCTGATATCCATATACACTCTGTGTCCCCCAGGCAAGGTGACCTTGTTCATAGCGTCCAGAAGTTGCTGGCCTGGAGTGTTTCTTGAACTATGCTCAGGCATTGCCTGAATGAAAGCTGGTTGACAGAAGCCCAGAGCATGCTACAGTAGGGACAGCTCCAAGGAACTGCCCAACCTTATCCCAAGACCCTGTTTATCATGCCCACCCGCTTGGCACTACAGTTTACAGATAGGTGCCAGGACTCAATTTTCAGCCTCGGCATCCTATCATAGTGCTCTTTGCTTCCACAAACCATCCAGAGTCACCTTTCTGTCAGTGAGGTTAGAGAGGCAAATCTCACATATGTGATGAACTGTTATTTTCCCTTCCAGTCCTTGGTCAACAGCCCTGATGCAAAAGCAAACCTACCTAACTACCTGGCAGACCTTAGCAAACAGACAAAAGATGAGCTGAACATAATAAGCAGTTCTGCAGCAAACCTAGGCGCAATTGTTAGCATGCTGGATATAGTCTCCTCTATCCCAGCAGATGCAGAGGAGCCCATTATTCAGGTAAGGTGCTATTTTAAGTCTTACCTATACCTATCAACCCCTTTGGACCTTTTTGTCACAGGGGATGATGCTGTCTCTGAAGTTTCACAGTTAGTTGGGGTCAGGAACAGGAAAGTATTAAGGGAATGAAACTAAATGACAGCAAAGGTTCGGAAGAGTTTATGAAAAGTCAAAATGATGAAGACAAGGAGCCTATGCATGAAAGAGAGCCTGCTGTATGGTTAGCAACTAGAAACATTCTAGGGACCCACGAACATCTCCAGCATTCTAAGATAGAGGAAAGACAAGGAATGATGGATGAAAACTGTACATGAGCCAGCAATGTGCTTTTGAAGTCCAGAAACCCTACTGTGTCCTGTGTTGCATAACAAGATGTGTGACCAGCAGGTCAAGGGAAGTGATTATGTCCCTCTACTTTGCTCTAGTAAGACCCTCCCTGGGGTGCTGTGTCCAACTCTGGGGTCCCTAATACAAGAAATACATGGACATGTTGGAGCACATCCCAAAGAGGGCCTCAAAAATGGTCAAGGGGCTGGGGCAGCTCTCCTATGAAGACAGGATGAGAGAGTTGAGGTTGTTGAGCCTGGAGAAGAGAAGACTCTAGGGAGAGAGACATTATTGCAGCCTTTCAATACTTAAAGGGGCTTTTTAGTGACAGGACAAGAGGCAATAGTTTAAACTGAAAGAGGGCAGGTTTAGATTATACATTAGGAAGAAATTATTTACTGTGTAGGTGGTGAGACACTGGAATAGATTTACCAGAGGAGTTGTGGATGCCTTGTCCCTGGAAGAGTTCAAGGTCATGTTGAATGTCCCTTCCCCTGGCAGGGAGGTTGGACTGAATGACCTTTAAATGAGAAAACCATTCTGTGATTCTATGATTCCACAACCAGAACTAAGAATTAAAACAAAGTCTGTAATAGGAATAGGGAGAATAAATGCCAGGGGCCATGATCTAGCAAGGAAAATAAATTGGATATTACAACAAATGAATAATAAAAGAAATCTTAGAAATACTTGGAAACCTTAATTGTGAAGCAGAGACGAAAAGCACTGCTCTTCTGAGTAGAAAAGTGCAAACAGACTTGATGGTTTTTAGCTCGAGAACCCTACATGAGAGAGACTAAGACAGCAGAAGGGCTGAGAAAGAAGGGAAAGATGACTGGACAAGAAAAAATACTAAGTAATATGTAAAAAATATAGACACATGGCTCCACCTTTGGAATCCTTCACTTGAAAATAGAGCATGCAGGGGGTTAGCAGCTGAAGGTTTCACATGGATTGAGAAAAATAAGAAAATGCTGGGCTTTTTCAAAAGGCAATTCTAGGACCATGCATAAATTACCATCAGAAACAGCAATGGTTTGTATGGAATTTCAGAAACTGCATTATTCTGTTGTTGTTCCAGAATTTCCTCTCCACAGTGGACTTAATTGTTAATGATTCCACAACTCAAGCATGGACAAGCCTAACTACAGAGAAGACACAAAAAAGTTCGCTGTTACTGCAGTCAGTAGAACAGTTTTCCCTGAACCTCCAACCAGTGAATAACACCATTCCTCCTGTTTTTGTAAACAGTGTTCAGCTACATGGTATAGTTATCAAGGAAAATAACAACTTAGATTATAATATGTCCTTCAACAGTTCAGACAGCCTCACAGTTAATGTGCTCATTGGTGAAAATGAAATTCAGACTTTAACCCAAAATTCAACCATTGTCAGTGTGATGTACTCAAAACTTGGACGTATTTTGCCCCAGAATCAGTCTGAGCGTTTGAATGGCTTATTGATAACAACAACTGTGAGCAGCAACAGAAGCCAGAATTTTGCTGTTAATATGACATTTTCAAAGCAAAACTCATCTCTAAAGATGCCCAAGTGTGTCTTTTGGAACTTCACACTCAACAAACCAGGTGGGGACTGGGATACTCGTGGTTGCACACCTACAGAGGAAGAAGATTATGTCATTTGCTCCTGCAATCACTTGACATCATTCTCCATTCTGATGTCACCTGATAAATCCTCCCAGCTAGTGTTTGAAGATTACATTTCCTATGTTGGCTTGGCCATTTCAATCTTGAGTTTGGTGGTCTGCATTATAATTGAATCCTTGGTCTGGAAATACGTGACAAACAACACAACCTCCTATATGCGCCATGTCTGTATACTCAACATAGCTACATCGCTCCTGATTGCTGACATTTGGTTCATTGTCACTGCCTCCATCAATGATCAAAACCAACAGATGAGCAGACATGTCTGTATTATGGCCACGTTTTTCATCCATTTGTTCTACCTCTGTGTGTTTTTCTGGATGCTCAGCCTGGGTCTCATTCTTTTCTATAGACTGGTCTTCATCTTACATAACACAAGTAAGACTGCTCAGAAAGCAGTGGCATTCTTCCTGGGATATGTGTGTCCCTTTGTCATTGCGGTCATCACCATCGCTGTCACACTACCAAAGAACAATTACACCAGAAAGAATATCTGCTGGCTCAACTGGGAGGACAGCAAAGCTCTCTTGGCCTTCGTCATACCTGCCTTGATCATTGTGGCCACGAATTTGTTCATCACCGCAGTTGTTATAATAAAAATACTCAGGCCAACTATTGGGGATAGGTCAAGCAAGCAGGAGAGAAACTCTTTGTTTCAAATTGGCAAAAGTGTGGCCATTTTGACACCACTGTTAGGCCTCACTTGGGGATTGGGCTTTGTCACCATGATCAAAAGTAGTCATCAAGCTTTCCGCGTCCTCTTTGCTCTGCTCAATGCTCTGCAGGTGAGTTACATGTATTTTTGTTTCCTCTATGACCATTTGAAGTAGTGACATTCTTGCAGTGCTGTCCTTGGCAGGGCATTAAAACAGCTGGGAAAAGTTCAGATTTGCCTTACACATTCTTATTCTAAAAGGGCTCTTTGGGAAACCTATTCCAGGAATTCAGCAGTATTTAATTTTCTCAGCTGCCTTCACAGATGTGCCTTGTACATAAGGCTGACCTAAAGATAACTTCCAACTTTACCAGCAGCTTTGGGAAGAACTTCACCCCTGAAGATCAGGAAAATAGCCCTATTATGTTCAGGTGGGCAAGCTTGAGCATCTCTGGTCTCATTTACAGTGCACTCAAAGGCATCATATTATGCTTTTGTGGGTTCAAGTATAAACAGCATGAAAGTCACCAAGAACAACTGAGCTGTACTACTAGTAAAGACAGGAACTGATCAAAATACAACAACGTATTTGGGTGGCCTGTAGGATGCCAATACAATGAGATTTCTTAAGGACACAGTAGTTATGTCTACTCTGTCTCTAAGAAGGGCATCAAAACTGTATGCTTCAGACCAAACTCACTTGAATTTTATATTGTGAACCTGCTAGCTTGTCTGGGGAGCATAGGCAGAACATGTGTTCCATACACAAAAGATTCCAAATACATTTGGTGCTAGCACACTATCTGTGTCACTTTGTAGACTAGAAATACACAGGATTTAAGTAGGCCAGACCTGGAGAACTCCTACCACTTCAGCAGTCCATTATGTGATAAGCAACTAGAAAAATGCCCTCTGTCAGAGAGTTTAGAGTTTAAGTAGTCACCATGTATGATGTTTGAGAAAATTATGACATACTGCAATTAAAGGCTGGTGTCATGAATTATCTGTCTCCTAGGGATTGTTCATTCTGGTGTTTGGGACTCTCTGGGACAAGAAGGTAAGAATTCAAACTATTTCTTAATTAATGTGAAAATGCTGTTGGAATTTGAACAAAATTTCTGTATTTACCAAAGGATTAATTTTTTTGACAAACAGATACAAGAGGCCTTGTTGAAGCGGAATTTGACATCCAAATGGAGTTCGCAACAATCAAAGGTTAGCACCTTGACCTAAGAATCTATTTCAGTTACTGCTGAACAGTCTAACATTCTCCAAGAGTCTCTTAAGCCAAATGCACTTTATATTCTGGATTATAGTCACAGATGACACTAACAACATAAATATGAATATACACCGTTTTTCAAAGTTCATTATTTCACTTAAAATTGGTAAAAAATGAGAAAGAAGGTTAGTGCACATTTGCTCTAGGTTCCACAAGAACTAAACTATAAAATGTATATATATATAACTTCAAGTTAGAAAACAGAAAATTTCTGCAGCACTATTATTTATGCACAACCTGAGAGAAATGCAAAGGTGACTTCTTGGGAAAGATGCCCTTCAGCTATGAACAGGAAAGGATGGAGATACTGCAACTTGAACTCGTGAGACAAAGAGGCGGGTTAGCCTCCCCTTTATGCTGGGAACAGAAAATGAGAGGAAGTATCAATCTTTTGGCAAAATGGTGTCTATGTGTTGCAAAGACTCAGCTTTTAATGAGCAAAAGATGAATGTGCTTCTGGAACTAAGTGGCCTGGGCAAACTCCTAGAAAAGGAGAGACTTTAGTCCCACACCCAGCAAATTCCTGACTTTAACCAAAAACATCCAGTACTTGGGAAAAAAAGATACTAAAGAAAGTCTGGTTGCTTCTCTTCTATCTGCAATTTCTTTGGCCCAGTGACTCTTGCACTCCTCCCTGCACTGAAGAACAGCTTGAATGGGCATCTGGAAATGCCTCTGCACAGAATAGGCATTCTCATTAAAGGGGGAAACCACTTTCACTACCATCTTTAAAATAAAAATAAAGTTTGCACAGTGCCTTAGGAAAATGGCTGTTGAGAA